CAACCGTTAAATCTGGTGCAAGAGCTGTCGAAGTCGAACAGGTGGGCTGCGGAGGCCTGATTTCCATCAAACTCTTGTTGCTTAGGACAGAGAAACAAACCCCATGCGATGATGGAAGAAAGGAGCCTGGTGTTGCACTAGCTTAGATCGTTTCTTAGAGAGCCAGTATGAATCAACTCTTCACTATAGAATCAGAACATTGTGTAAACTAGTTTTGGCTTTAAAAAGCCTTCATCAGTACAAGCCTGAAACTGAAGATCTGAGAAGAAGCAGACTGACTAAATTTCTCTACGATCAGCTAGGCTAACCAGGACGATGTCAGGAGAAAGCGAAAGCGAATGTGAGATGAGGCATCGAAGCGATGAGGCATAGAACTCCCTTCCCTCAGTCTGCCGAGCTGCTTCTCCCTCTTCCCTTCTTTCATCCCTCCCACCATCACCCCTATCACCATTCATGTTCCTCCTACACTAGGACCCGATAATGGAGTGGATTAGCATGAGATGAGCCACCAGCCCCTGCACTGCACCCCCGCTTGCACTCCTGCTGCTCCGGTAGACAAGAGGGGCGTGTGGGTGCGAGGGGGGGTGGGGAGGGAGGAGTTGTGCGATCATCCGCCTATACAGCATGAGGTGACCCACCAGCTCAGCACTGCACCCAGCTGCTCTCCTGCTCCTCCATTACCCCTCCATTCTCCAATTCCGCTCTCAGCTGCTCTCGGGTGCGTCTCACCTGCGTTCGCCCCAAGTTTCAGCTGGACAGGGAGAGGTTTGGGGAGAAATGGGTGTAGGCAGGGCAGGAGATGGCGGAGAGGGGCGTGATGGTGGTGGCTTGGGTGTGGGTAGACTGTCTTTGGCTCTGGTGACCCCACCTTTGGCTGTACAGATACGTGTTTGGTACCAGGTAGGTACTGTGGTCGTTGACTATGTGGAGTATAGCATTTCTCACGTATGCATGTATGTACACAATATTGGTTTTTGGTTGCTCCCTTACGTTCGTACCGTCCCCCCCACCCCCCCCCCCCCCCCCCCCCCCCCCCCCCCCCCCCCTCCGCCAACACCCCTTCATCCCTCCCATCCTTCCTCTCCATTGCCCGCTATCACACTTTGCCAATGTATGTCACACTTGGCATCATGATTGTGTCCCCATGCATGCCTCCATTGCTGTCCTTCCTGTCTTACCTCTTCCCGTGTCCCATATCCGCTTCCCTCTCGTCCATCCTCCCTCTCACACCCAGCTATTGCGCATTGGTGCGGACAGCGTACCTCTCTATAGGGCATGAGATGAGCCACCAGCTCCTACACTGCACCTCGCCTGCACTCTTACTCCCCCGCTGCCCCTTGAGTTCCCAAAGTGACCCTCCAGCCCGCCATGGCTCTAAGGTTCGTCTCACCTGCACTCTCCCACAAATATCAGCCAGACGGGGAGAGGTGTGGGGGGAAATGGGTGTGGGTAGGGCAGGAGGTGGCGGAGAGAGGCGAGGTGGGGTGGGTGGCTTCGACTTGCAGAAAATGAGGTGGGGAACTCAGCACTTGCACTGCATGGAGCGGCATATTATACATCCTAGGCATGAGCATGGGCCGGGTCGCAACGTGGGTGACTTTTGAGACGCCTTAAAGTCTGGGCCGCAGCGTGGGCGCGGCCAAGATTCCTGAACTGTCGGTGCTGGCATGCTCATGAGCATGCTCAATGCCTCCACGTTTACAGTGGCTACCGACTTTTGCTCAAGGGAGGTCTTCCTTTGCCTTAGATATACATTTCTAATACCACGTTGGTGGTTTGGCCATTCACTATATGGAGTATGTACGTCACATTCCATGTAAATAGTAGCGAATGATTATTGTTGTCTTGCGTTCTTCTCTCGTTCCCCCTCTCCTCCGTCCTCCTTTTGCATCCTTCTCCCTCTCGCACTCAGCTAATGTGGCTTGGCACTGCGTGTTTGTGTGCTCATCAGGCCCTCAGATTGGTTTGAGGGTATGCTGATGGATCAGCGTGCCCCGGCCGCCCAGGTGTCCAAATCAGCGTTCATGGTTTTTTTTATACTGATTTTGGCAGTGTAAAAATCCTAAGTAAACTGAACCATCAGTGTAAAAAAAAGCAAAACCAAATTGAATTACAAGTGCTAAGTTTGTCGTTGTGAGAGTTCCTTCAGCGATGCAGAACACGCCGGCACGCGATCTGTACAGCGCATGACATAAAACTCCAAGTGTGTGGGGGCGGGGTCTCGCGACGTGAATCCCGGGCCAGGTACAGACTGCACACATGCGTATTTCCCCTCCCCCCCCCCCCCCACGAAAATCGGTCAATTCCGTTTCAGTGTGACTCACGACACTATACTGATTCGTCAGTGTTACTTGTACAGCTACACGCAAAATGGTCAGTGTGGTCCATGTAGTTATACTGAAATTTCAGTGCAAAATTGAAGCATATGCTGAATTTTCAGGGAAAACGAAAATCACAGCTACAAAATCAGCCTAATCAGCGTGTTTTACGCTGATATCTGAGGGCCTGGTGCTCATGCCTGCGTTCCTTGCTGCCCTTCTTTCATAGTGCTTCCCCCTCCCCCCCTCGCGTCCTTCCTTCGTGTCCTCCCTTCATCCCTCTTTTAAACAGCTCCTGCCCGCTGGCTGTAAGAGAGTGTTGGTGGGCACTTGGTCGCACGATCTGGTGGAGTGCCGAGGTGGAAAGAGCAGCTGAGGCGAGTCCAGGAGGCACCAGAGGTGGCAAGCGATGCAAAAAGCACCGTTGAATGGAATATGAGGCACATGATTTGCACCCCCATGCACGGTGAATGGGGTGAGTGGATGGGTGGGTAAGGGCGACGTGTGCATGTGCATGGTGCATGTATGGTGTGTGCATGGTGTGGTGTGTGTAAGGTGTGTGATTACTTTGCATGGTGTGTGCATGGTTTGCAGTGCATGGTATGGCTTTTGCATGGCGTTTGTGGGCTTATGGCACCAGTGCATGGTTGACTACCTGTCTTTAATCTCGTACACCAGGCCAACCCCCTTCCCCTGATCTTTCTGTCCCCTTCCACTCCCTTTCCCCTCTTCTTGCCCTCCCTTGTGCCTCCCCTCTCCTTCCCCTTTCCCCTTTCGCTCCCCTTCCCTCTCCTTCCCCTCCCCCCTTTTCTCCTCCCTCCCTTTCCCTCCCTTTCCCCTGTTCTCCCCCTTCCCTTCTCTCTCCCCTTGCCCTCCCCTCCCCCTCCGCTTTTCCTCTCGCAAAAAGGTCCAGATGTTGCAGGTTATGCCGATTCCAGTTGGCATTCAGGTGTCTACAAGTATGTCAGCCATGTATTCTGTAGCAGATTTTAGGCATTGCGAGAGCTAGCGAGCACAGTATGCAACACAATACGATAGTGCCCCCTGTAGTGTATGCTGCACATGCGCACATGCCAATGAGAAGATATCCTGATCAATATGATTGGAGCATTCTAAATTTGACAGAATTGGGGCACGGATGGGTTGCATCCAACATCAGGCCAGAGAGACTATCGTAAACACCCAGATATACCACCCGAGGGTCTTAGAACTAATATACAACCCAGAGATACCACCGTAATCACCCATATATACAAAATAGTGGTCAGTGGACGCTGATGGTGATGGCGAATGGTGAAGGCCAGGTATGAGTACCTCTTTGCACAGGATGGGCTATTCAGGCCTGCCCAGGGCAAGGGTGAGTGAGTGAGGGGGGGAGAGAGCGGCGTACAGTGAAGAGGTGAGAAATGCAAGGAGACAGAAGGCAGTGCCAGCAGTGGGAGAGGGGATGAGCGGACAGGGGAGAGAGATGGGCCAACCATGACATATGCATACACAAACTCATACTCATATACACATCCATACATGCATACGCATAGCATTGGCTTACGCATGGTCTGGCAGGAAAGAGTACGCGGAGGGAGGTGGGACAGAAAACAGTATTTCCACAACACCACCTGTACCACCGAGGAGAGTCATGACCAAACGCATGGCATCGCTACCCTATTTCGCTCTTGGCCACACCCACCCATTCGCTCTGCGAATCTGTGTGACACATTGAAATTTGTGGCATGTACATCGCAGCTTTAAAGTCAACTCAAAATTCACCTCCCTCCTGCCACTCATGTTGCCACTCTTATTGCCTCTCACATTGCCACTCTCATTGCCACTTACACTCCCACTCACCTTGCCACTGTTCTTCTCACTCCTCTTCCCGTTGCTCCTGCCGGGGCATGTGAGCTTGTGGGAGGGCCAGTGCGCCTTTTGGCACTCTCTGCTGCAATACGCCAATTTGCCACACCCACCGCAGCTTCTCAGCTTCACACCGCCACCCTCCACCCTCCCACACCCCCCAGCACCGCACGCACGGCCCCCCATGGACAGGGAACCAGAGCCTTCGGCATTAGAGGTGGGTTTTGCTTGAATGGCTGCTGCAGCAGTGCTTGGTGCAGCGACAGGGATTGCAGCATCTAACGAAGGCGTTGCTGTGGGAGAGTCTCCCGAAGCAGCAGTTGACGATGCAGCAGGGGTGGAAGGGGCAGTAGGGGCGGAAGGGGCAGCAGGGGAGGCAGGGCGGTAGCACGGCTCCCCCAGCAGCATCTCTCGCAGGCATGCCACCAGATTGACTCCCCCCGGGCATGGCTTCAGATAAGCCGGTCCTCCTCCTCCTCCTCCTCCTCCTCCTCCTCCTCCTCCTCCTCCTCCTCCTCCTCCTCCTCCTCCTCCTCCTCCTCCTCCTCCTCCTCCTCCTCCTCCTCCTCCTCCTCCTCCTCCTCCTCCTCCTCCTCCTCCTCCTCTTCCTCCTCCTCCTCCTCCTCCTCCTCTTTCTTGCCCTTCTTCTCACTGATGCTGCCGCCGCTGCTGCTGGCCTTGCTGCTGCTCCTCTGGGTGCTTCCACTGCTGCTGCTGCTGCTGCTGCCACATCCACTGGCAGACCCACCTTGGCAATCTTTGAGATGCCTCGGCCTGCCAGCCCCCAAGTATGTGCAGCTACGTTCCAACACATAAGCCGGCCAGGCATACATTGCCATGTTGCACCACAACCAAACCTCGTCCCACACATCCGGATCATCCCACAAAGCCTCTTCCCTACCTTCGCCATCCCCACCAACTCCTCTGCTCCCCAGCCTCCCTCCTCCACCCATCCCGTTCGACCCAGCGCCACTCTCAATAGGCCTCCACCTCCCGTCCTTGTCTACCCCAAGAGGAACCATCATTGGTTCAGCCCACTTTACAGCAATCACGAGCAGCAGGGAGAATGGCTCGCGCTCAGCCAGTTGGCGCATCCACCCCAGGGCCTCCAACTGGGCCGACCGAGTCTTTCCCAGCTCCAGACGGAAGGCACTGGCTAGGGAGCGAAATTCTTGAGAGCAGGGGGGGGGGGAAGATGGAGACAAAGCGGTTGAAGAGGATGGAGACGGGACGGTAGGCGAAGTTGGCAATGAAGGCGACGAAGGGGATTTGGGAGGTGTAGAGGTTCATGCATCTTCTGCACTGGGAGCACAAGGGTGGGGTCATTCTGCTAGTCGCAACCTCCAGAATATAATCCACTTCTCTCACGCAGCGAACAATGGTATGACAGCTTGAGGTAGGCAGATGCGATGCGAAGGAGCGGGAGTGGGCTGATCGTTGCTGCATCCCACACGCACCGTCTTCCTGCCAACCCTCCTCTTACCTCCGGCCTTTGACGACGGACCAGAGGGCCTTCCGTTGCCTCCTTCTGCCGTCCCACCCTCCTCCACAATCCCCTGGCCAAAAAAACTCACGCTGCGGTCATCAGGAAACTTCACAGCAGCTTCATCGCCCTGAGGCCATTCCTCCCACTCCATCGGGAAGCTCCTTCCCTCCATAGGTTCGGGGATGTTGCCAAACGTGAGAAGCAGGCTTGGAAGGTCCCGCAGCGGATGGCGCATGGGCATGACCTTGCCTTGTGGGCTGTCCTTAAAGTACCTCTTCGCTGAAATGAAATCTGAGCCGTAGATTCGGACCCACTGCAAGATGCGAGCAGCTCGGTATGTGAAAACAGCAACACCAGGGTGGGTGTTGACCGGCACGAGGCCAGAGCTGGTAGACGCATCTCCACTAGGCCAGGCACTTCTGTCAGAAGCTTCAATGCTTCCAAGGGAACCACCACAAGCCTTGGAGCTGGCTGCTAGGGAAGCTGCTGGCGACAACTCCGTTGCTGCCGTGGCTGAAGCTGCTGCTTCCACTCCTGCACCCGTCCCCCCTGCTCCTCCCAACCCTCCTGCTTCCTCACTCGGCCCTCCAGTCAATTCCACACGTCGTGCTCTCTTCCTGGCCTCCTCAATGGCTGCTGCCTCCACCCGTGCCTCGCTGGGGTTGGTCGTATCCAGGTAGAATATTCCGCCTGCCGTGCAGCACTCGGGCTTGGAGAGCACATTGGCGACTGCCAGGGCGAAGTCAATGGCACCCACACCACTCACGTACATTCCTCTGGGAAAATATTTGTCTTCCACAACACTGCTCACATTGCTGCTGCTGCCCCCCTCACTGCAGTGGCTGCACCGGAACTCCCTCCCTTCCCCCCCTCCATCCTCCAGAATCCAGTCCATGCCATCCACATACCTCTCCCACACATGCCCTTTCAGATTCTCCCTCCAGTGCGCACCTTCCTCATCCTTGTCATCCCCATCCACCCCATCAACCCTCTCCCCAGCTTCGCCACATGCTTCAAACCTCATGCCATTCCCCATCAGCATGCCTTCCAGCCTTCTAGTCACACCTCCCTCCCCCACCCCACCTTCACCAGCTCCCACCATCTCACGCAATGTCCCTCCTGACCGCACGCCCCTACTATTCCTCACCATGTCCATCGCCACCTCTACCTCCTTCCTCACCTTCCACGCTGTGTCACCTTCCCCCTTGGCTCTCCCCCTCCCTGCCCCCTCAGCATGCGCCTTCTCCAGCCCGCCTGTCAGCACATGCTGCAGGAAGAACCCAAACCCTTCCTGCAGATCAGCACTCTCCTTCACCCCCAGCACCTGCACCAACATGGACGCAACACAGTCGTTCTCAACCTGCCTGCCCGCCCCCAGCTCAGCCAGAATCGCCGGGTAGGCCAAGGTTAGTGACTCTATTGAGTCACAACCCGCGGCCACCTCGCCACCAGCACGAGGAGAGCAGCGAAGCTGACCACACGGCGGTAGGCAGCCCAGCAGCTGCTGCAACGAAAACAGCACGACCACGCTGCAGCAGCAGGTGAGAGCAGGGCAGATGGGGAAACAAGGGGGGCAGTAACAGCTAAGACATCTGTTGCAGCATCTGTAGCAGAAAACGTAGCCAGCAGGCGGGATCTGATCCTCCCCAGGTCCATCAGCACGCCCACACAAGGTTCGGCGCCAGCTCACACATCACGGAAAAGGAAAATTGCGATTTTGGGGGTCCGAAGGTTTTTCTGCGAAAAGATTGCGGTTTTCTTGCGCGAAGTGTCCATAAAACAACGACCCGAAATCGCAGATTTCCGTACACCATTTCCGTACGTTTCCACTGGCGCCAAAAAGTCACTCGAAAGTGACGTGAACACCAATTCTACGGTACCACACGGTAAAAAACGATAACCGGCGGTTACGCACAGTAACATTGTTTGTCAGATGGAACAACTGTACTCGCGAAATTAGTTCAGGCCCACGAAACCTAGCGAGGTTGTAAACCTGGATACCTAGCTATCGGAAAAGATCAAATATGAACCTGAAGGACCTAACCCAGGTGACGTGTTATCCAGTACAATACTTAACAACCAATCATTGTTGTTCCTGTAGATTTGCTAGCAATCTACACCCTCCGTTCCGTACACGTCAGCACATCCAACCAAACTAACCGTCCACCTAATATGCACACCCCCCGCCAGCCCTGCTTTTCGGGAAAGACACCAGCCCTTCCCACCATTCCCCACAACGCCTCTATTCCTCCCAAACAAATCCCCTCACTCAGCCCGATAACTCCATTTATTCTTTCAAATTCCCGTATGACGCTTCAAGTTCCCGCAACCTAGATCTATTCGTACTTGACTTCCATGTCGATATTTTCTGCGCTCGCCGGTGTTGTTTCTAGAAGTGGTCTCATACTCTATTCCCCTTTAAAATCGGTTGCCGTTTTCCAGTCTACTTAACTCCTTTCTGTTCTTTTTATTTTTTCTATGACCACCGACATTTTTCCAAGTATTGCTTGGCGTATTGCTTTCACTTTCCCGTCCGCTTGGCGTTTTTCTTGTGTGGTTTATTCCCTCTATTTTACTCTTCTCTCCTCCCTATCCCTCTCCCCCCCACCCTCTCATCCCAAATTGCATCTCATAGAGCTGTTTTCCTGACACATTAGACATTCGCGACGCTTATTCTGGACTTTCCCTCCGTCCTTTTAACCTACCATTCCCCTTTCCAGGTCGATGACCAATTTTCGCGGTGGACATGCGCACACGTAATGACGACTACCCGCCGTCCAGGCAGCTTCTTCTAGAAATCGTAAGGTTCAAGTATCACTGGTACCGTATTCATTTTGTTTCCTACGATTACATCTACTCCTTTATTCAGTTGCGACTACTATGCGGCATCTCACTACTCGAGGGCAGGCATCCGGTTTGCATTATTGTGCATCTGCTGTCGGCTTTGCGTCACGCTACTGGTAACCCCACGTCCCACACTATGATGTGGCAGTTTTCCTGTCTCAACAGCCACTTGTTGCAACTAAGGCTGTCGCAACAGCACACCAGGTTGACGGTTTTCAGTTCGACGGATATCCGCTTTATCGCGGTAAGCATGCACCCATTTAGCGATCGAGTATTCAGTTTCCGGCAGTGTGTATTGTGTTTGCAACTGCTCGTCATTTTCATTTCCTGTTTGTAGTGTTCACGGTTGGCTAAACATTTCTCTATTGGTATGTGGCAAAATATGCCATCCCTAACCCATCTAGATTCGTAACAGCAAGTTGTGTTTGCATGTTTTGCAGGGTGTAACTGTTGATGCAGGCTTATCTTCACCCAGAATTGCACGCTGTATTTTTTTTGCCACTACTGCGTACTTCTAACCCCAATGACAGTATACGGTGAGTAAAAATGCATACGGTACTTGATTTGCATGCTTCACAAGCTTTAACTTGCTACGTTTTCTTGCAGGCAATATCAAGATGGCAGCACCAAATGTTACATCCTGGTTTTTTGCAGTGCTGATGGAATAGTAACTGTGCTTGTATGGGGCGTATTGGTATTTTGTATGCAGACGTGTTATATTTGTGGGAGAAATCATATGCATTTCATTATGAATTTCAACAAAAATGAAGCTTGAATCTAAACCGTGGCCAATAATAATGATCTAATCGTCAGCCACTATGAGGTCGTTACCGCACACCAAAAGTGCGCTCTGATTGGTCCATAAGACGCACTCACGCACGTAGATTTTAATCTAATCCGACGGCTGCCGTCGGAGTACGATGACAGCCACGTCAGCATATTTCAGTTTCATCTAAAGTAGGTCGTATGCCACGTGGCGCTGTCGTGACACTTTCGCGTAGGTTGCTCAAGGGTGACGTTTTCCACCCCCATAGTTGCATTACCGTATACCTCACAATTGCACCGAAGTGTACAGTTTGTGTTGGGAATGTGACGGGAAAGTCACTTCGCAAGTTACTGACGCTACCACTGTTTACGAGTCAAACTTTTTTCTTGCGCGGAAAATGTAACTGGAAAGTTGCGAAACCGAAACTTTTAGGTTTTTTTTCGCACTTCCCTTTTCCGCGATGCACTTGCAGCTAAACTGCACGCGAGGATCCGTTTCCCCCTCCTCCCCAAACGCTGGAACCCTGGCGGAATACCCCAAAACGGCCCTGCTGACCCTGCTTGGAAACCCAGGCACTCTGGGAACGGATCGCTGCTCCACTTTGCGCATTTCGGCCCGGAAACCCTCGAGGTCGGTCAAGTAGAGTCCGCACTGGGCGCGGTAGCTGACAGCCCGCTCCAAGCAGCACTCGCACTCCCCCACACCCCACCCGCGTGTCACGTCTGTCAGAATCACTAGGAGTGGGGCCTAGGCTTAGTAGCCTAGGCCCACACATAGAGTAGGTAGGTTGTGCCCTAGAACTAAAGTTTAGGGTATACGAAGGAGAATTGAAGAAGAAAAATGAGAATGATGGAGGATGATTGAACTAGCAAGCAGGTTGGTACAAATAGGAAACCCTAAGGGGTTGTACTCACTATTGAGCACCCCACTGCAGGCTAGACAATAACATTCTGACACACCCCCATAGCCAAAGTGGGGTGCAATCAGCACAATGAGCAGGCAGTGCAATAGTTCACAAATATGAGCAAAGCTAGAGGCTATCACAGAGGGCAAGTGAGGAGGAGGAGGAACTGTGAAGGGAGAGAAGATTGGAGACGACGACTGAAGCTGCAGACACACGGGCAACAGGTGCTGCAACCTCCTCCAACTGTCCCACACCCCCCTACACACACCCCCAGTGTCACCTCTAGCTCCACTCCCACATCACCCCCCTAGCGCCACTCCCTCGTCTCCCACACATCCACCCCCCCGCAGCGGCAGCTGCAGCAGTGGGAGACGGAGGAGAAGGTAGGGGCGACGCACAAGGAGCACCCCCACACCCGCCACCCCCACACCCTCCTGTTCAGGGGACGCAGGGGGGGGGGGGGGGGGGGGGGAGGGCCGGGGCGGGAGAGCGCACGAGGGCGCAGGCAACCGCGCGTGCAGAGCAACAGCGCGGAGCAGGTAGGGTAGAGCGCACGAGGGCGCGGGCAACCGCGCGTGCAGAGCAACAGCGCGGAGCAGGTAGGGTAGAGCGCACGAGGGCGCGGGCAACCGCGCGTGCAGAGCAACAGCGCGGAGCAGGTAGGGTAGAGCGCACGAGGGCGCGGGCAACCGCGCGTGCAGAGCAACAGCGCGGAGCAGGTAGGGTAGGGCGCACGAGGGCGCGGGCAACCGCGCGTGCAGAGCAACAGCGCGGAGCAGGTAGGGTAGGGCGCACGAGGGCGCGGGCAACCGCGCGTGCAGAGCAACAGCGCGGAGCAGGTAGGGTAGGGCGCACGAGGGCGCGAGTGAGACTGAGCGCGACTGCACAGGGTCCAGGAGCGGCGTCGCGGGCAGCTGCATGGTCGGCTGCTGCTGGTGCGGTTGCTCCAGGGGCGGCGGCGCAGGTCCAGGGGCGGCTGCACCAGGGGCGGCGTCGCGGGTACAGGGGCGGCTGCACCAGGGGCGGCGGCTCCAGTGGCGGCTGCTCCAGAGGCGGCTGCTGCAGAGGCGGGCGACTCCAGGGGAGGCTGCTGCAGTGGCGGGCGGCTCCAGGGGCGGCTGCTGCAGTGGCGGGCGGCTCCAGGGGCGGCTGCTGCAGTGGCGGGCGGCTCCAGGGGCGGCTGCTGCTGTGGCGGGCGACTCCAGGGGCGGCTGCTGCAGTGGCGAGCGGCTCCAGGGGCGGCTGCTGCTGTGGTGGTGGGCGGCTCCAGGGGCGGCTGCTGCAGGGGCGGCGTCGCAGGGGCCAGGGGCGGCTGCACCAGGGGCGGCTGCTCCAGGGGCGGGTCGCTGGCGCAGGGGCGGCACACGCACTGCTGCAGGGGCGGCTGGCGCACTGCTGCAGGGGCGGCGACGCGGGCTGCTCCAGGGGCGGCTGCTCTAGGGGCGGGTCACTGGCGCAGGGGCGGCTCGCGCGCTGTTGCAGGGGCGGCGTCGCGAGCTGCTGTGGGGGCGGCGTCGCGAGCTGCAGGAGGGGCGGCGGCGCGAGCGACGGGCGACTGTGGGAGCAGCGGGCGGGCTCTCTGAAGGCGCCGCGACGAGCGACGGGGGGGAGCAGCGGGCGGGCCCCCTGAAGGCGCCGCGACGAGCGACGGGGGGGAGCAGCGGGCGGGCCCCCTGAAGGCGCCGCGACGAGTGGTGAAGCCGCCGCGCGCCCCGAGCGCGCGGCGGGCAGAAAAAGCCGCCACGCGCTCGGAGCGCGCGGCGGGAAGAAAAATACAGCGCCGCGCACCACGGAGCGCGCGGCGGAAAGTACGGCAGCGGAAGCAGTTGGTGGGCCCGTTGAGCTAGGCGGCAGGATCATGCTCGCTCTAGATACCATGTCAGAATCACTAGGAGTGGGGCCTAGGCTTAGTAGCCTAGGCCCACACATAGAGTAGGTAGGTTGTGCCCTAGAACTAAAGTTTAGGGTATACGAAGGAGAATTGAAGAAGAAAAATGAGAATGAGGATGGTTGAACTAGCAAGCAGGTTGGTACAAATAGGAAACCCTAAGGGGTTGTACTCACTATTGAGCACCCCACTGCAGGCTAGACAATAACATTCTGACAACGTCCAAGTAGTGAACCATGTCCGCCCGACACACCACCTGACGCTTTCCACGCGTGCCTTGCGTTTCCGCTTCCCCTGATCCCCGCTCCCTACTCCCCTCTGCCTTCCCCGCTCCAACGACCTCTGCTTTAAACTTCCACCTTTTCACAGCCTCCTTGCATCGCACGAAGAACTGAGGCTTCCAGCAATTAGCTGGAAGCCTTCCCAGTGACTCCCGATTTCGGGAGTCCTGTCAGTCTGCTTTCAATGCGGGGGGGTGATTGTGGGACAACAGAACCACCCTGCAGACAACCTGCGCACTGCCGAAACCAACCTGCGAGGCGACAGCATTGTATAATTTGCGCATCGCATGTCAGATGGGGCGAGCAAATCGAAGTTGTTACCTTCGTTGTCGAAAAGAAAGCCCTCGCACATGCGAGACCAGAAAAGTTGAGAGTAACCACAGCCGTAACACCAGTTTTTAGATGGTTACCTTGTGAAAACAAAATGCAAATGTCAAAAGCGTCATCGTAATTGATATTGGACATTTGTTCCTAAACCGAGAAGTGACAAAGAGGTACCTCTAATTGAGATAACTACACTGTTCAACATCTGAACCATATGAGATACAAAAAACAAATACGACTAATAAAATTAAAACCAGTAATCAAGATTTAAAACTGCTATACCAATGAACAATGAACGCTACCAAATAATATCGGTTAGAAATTAGAAAATACAAATTCAAAATAACTACACTAATTCTACATCCTCTACAGCTAATCCAAGCTCATAAAGATCCGTTACAATCTGCCAATCTTTGACAATAACATCCCCAAAATAGTAAAAACCCGCTTACTAACGGGATGCTTGCGCGACGGATCCAGCTCTCAACCTGAGCCTTCCTCTTGTTCATCTCGCGGGTGTTGTTCTCGGAGTCGGAAATCATGCTGCTTCGATCACGAGAAAGCATCTCGAACTCTACCTGGCAAGCACATCAAGGGCAATTGAATTAGACATAAAATAACAAGAAACAAATAACAGACCAAGAAGCTCAAACTCACCGCGACCATTGTGTAGCAAAGCTGATCAATGCTCAGGGAGAAGACACCCCCCTCTTTCTTCTGCCACTTGCTTGCAGCAGCTATAAACGCCTCGCTACAGAACGGCTTCTCATCCTCAGCATGCCACGGCAAGCCATACTCCTCTGTAAAATGAGAAAAAAGTGTAAGAAACCAGTGATAACAAGGGCAACCGCAAAAAATAACACGTACCTGAGACGCAGAATCGCGCATAATCGCGACAATCGTCACGGGAGTCTTTCACTTCTTTGCCGTCAGGGTACTTCAGCAGCTTGAAACTTGCCTTCCGAGACTTGTTCACGAGTTTCCCACGCCGGCCGTTGCAAACATCGGTGCACTTCTTCGCCCACTCGCCCTTCTTCCAAAAGTCGTTGAATTTCCCGAAGTCTTCAAGCTCCAGAGCGAGGTGCACCACGACGGCCGCCTTGAATTGTTCTTCGTCGAGGTAAATGACACGCGCGGAGACGTCCAAGCGCTTGAGCAAATCATCACAGGCTTTCTTGCAAGCATCCTGCAACAAGAACACGTTTGGTACATATTTAGAAACTAACATGAACTAATAACCAAACATATAAAGCATAAAACTTACCTCCATGGTTCTCTCGTTGCACCAGCTCGGTTGGTGCACAATCTTAAGAAGATTCTTGACAGTCGTAGCTAGAGTCTGCTGGATCTCATCCGAAACACGAAGACGGGTTTCCATACGCTGCATAAGCGTTTTAAGTTCTTTCATTTCGCCGCGTATGGCTGCGTCGATGTGGTTATACGAGTTGGCCTCGGGGTGGTGAACATCACGATCTGATGTGGGCACAACAGAGAGACAGAATGGTAAGAGAGACAAGAAATCAGGTTAAACAAACGGAAACTAAAAAGAGTAACTGGACGACATACTCTCGGTTAGAATTGAGGTTTAAACAACTGCAGGTCAAAGCATTGAACATACCACCGGGTCCAGCAGAGGCAACGACGTTTAACCTGAGCTACAGGAGCAGTGGCGTTAGAAGCATGGTGGGGCGAAGCTACGCCGTTATCCGCGGTGTGTTTGGCGACACCGGCCTCGAGGTCATGGAGAGTTGGTGGTTCCTGAAGGGCGCTAGCATTACCCACCTGATGGGCAGGGGTAGAGACTCTACGAGCGCCAGTGGTAGGGCTACCCAGCTCATACCCTTCCAGGCGTCTGTTTGAGGTACGTGAACGCTTACGCTGCAGCTCCGTTATCTCCGCTGGCTGCAAGAACGCCACTAACAGGCTAGGAGCATGAATTAGAAACCTCGAGCAATGAAGTAAAAATGGAGTTGATTGAGGAGAAGCTCGGCTGGGTCCACCGGGCTTCTTGAAACACGATTGTTAAAAGAATGTTTGCGAGGTTTAACTTGTCAGCACGATGGTTCACCCTGAGATAGTTTATGAACTTCCCTTGGCCCCCTACAGTTGTAACAATCGTAGCATGAAGTGCTTAGCAATGATATTTGACACATGTAGCAGTTTCCCACATCGGTTTTGCCAAGTGTTTAGATAAAATCAATTTCCAGAGGTAAAGATCAGGCAAGGTGTTTGCCCAAGGGTCAGACATGGGTCGGTTTGTACAGTAACATGAATTTCGCACGAGGCAAAAAAAACAACCTACTGGTGCAGTGCACTGTATCTGGCATGGGAACTGAACCCACAGTTGCGGTTGGAAACGCGACAACACAACCGCTAAACAATGACAGGTCAGGCAGCAAAGAAGGTGCGAGAAGCAGTGCTGTCCAGCAGCATGCGTGGCAAGCGAGGCAAGGAAGTCCCCGATTTTGGGCGGCAGGATGCCAGCCAAGCATGCCACATTCTGCTTTCAAAAGCTGCAGCCAGAAACTTGACCGCGCCAAAAGAATTGCAGATGCGCTGGCACGACATACGGTATGAACCTTTTGGGCAGTGCGTTCAAACGGAAACTCTTGCCTAAACCTTGCGCGCTTGTTTAAGTTACAAACTTAAACATTTGCGTGTTTGAAACCGAGGCCAACATTAAATCTGATTGGGCAGAACAATTTCACGAGCCCAACAAAGAAACAAGACAACCACGCCACCAATGCCCAAGTGGGCATCGAGCAAGACGACGGCCATATGGCAAGGTGCAGCCAGCACAGCTCCCGCAAAACTGTAGGCCACGCTAGCGAGGCACGGAAGTTAGCCAGTTGCTCGGCAGAATGCCAGCAAGCAACGATTTAATTATGAGATTCATCGCGCAATTAAGGCAACAGGACAGGGTTGACGTGTAAAACTGCCAAACGAGACTGGGCTAATGTACCATTCGTCGGAATTCATCGTGCTGTCAAACGTCACCAAAAAGGATACACGATGACAATTTAGAAACTTCCAGATGCGCCAGTGGTATGAGATCTCCTATTGCAAGTCTCGAGTAAATGTAATGTTTCAAGTGAGGATGCTTCGAAGTTGTGAAGTAAAGTAGCTGAATGTGTTATGGTTCACTGTTTATTAATAAAATTTGAACGTGTTCATCACAAAGCGACCCTCACTAATCTTAACCATATGAGCTACGCGCAGAATGCTATCAAGCTCAAGCAGTTGGTACTCGTTCTCCCCTGTCTCCCAACCATACAGCGGACACTTTGATGCGTGCACCGCTCCAGTGGCTCTGAAATAGCGTACAAAGGCGTACGCGCGCTTGGTAAACGCCTGTGTCTCTGGCGTGTACACGTCGATGGTAAAAAGCAGCAGCAACTTCGCATACCAGATCACCTTGCGCTTTGTGATCTCACCCCCTGCAGCCGCAACCTCCTCTTCACCAAGCACTGCCACGTCGCTGAACCATGGTTTGTCCCCGAAAGACGCGCAGGCTCGCACATAGTGTGTCTGACTGGAGTACTTGGTGAAGTCCTCGTCCCCGGGAATAGCCATGCCGTTCTTCACACGTATGGTACTATTCAGTACCTCGCCTTCTTCTGCTTTGCCTTCCAACAACCCTTTGAGCTTGGTCATGTCACCTGGCGCGGCCAAAGCATGCGCTTTCCACTTGTCACACCCATCCGCAAGGCTTTGCTTCCAGCTTACACTGAAGCTGGTGGCTGCAAGCGTGTTGCAACCACTCTCCATCGCCTGCAAAATGCATGGTAAAGTGCACTTCGGTTAGAAAAAGGATGGTCAATAATAGTACAGGGTACAATAGCAAACCATCGATCATAACAGAAATACACACACACACACACACAAATACACTTTCACACCCTCTTCACACACATACACACACGTGCGTATGCGCACACACTCAAATACGCCCACACACACACACACACACGTAACATACACACACACGCGCACGCACACAAACACAGACACGCACGCACCCACGCACGCGAGCGCGCGCACACACACACACATACAAACGCACGCACACACACACATGCACACACACACACACACACACACGTGCGCACGTGCACACACACACACGCACACACACACACACGCACACACACACACGCGCGCGCGCACGCGCGCGCACACACACACACACGCATGCACACACACACGCAAACATACACAAACGTACCTCCTGTAGTGCCACCATCCGTTTTGGTCCATCTTCGCTCGGTGCCTCCGATGCTTGAAGCACGCGTAGCATGTGCATTCGCACATCGTGCTTCACAATTTGAGGGATTGGATCCCTCTTGTTGCTTGCACGGTACGCGCGCTTCACTAGTGGTTGATGAAGGTACTCGTATACGTTGGCGCTGTAATGCATCGGCACCCCCGATCGAATGATGTCCTCCACCACATGTGCCAATGAATGCACCTTGGTGATGTCGAACTCCGACTTTTGAAGGTCCACGAACACATCCTTCAAGAGCGGAATCAACCTGCACAAGTGTGGGGCACGCATAACACACCGACACGCACAAGGTTTGTTTGCACAAGGCACAAACAGACTTGCAAGCATGAAAAGCATGGTACAAGCATGAAATACAAGCGTTAGGACGCGGGGAAAATGAAGGGAGGACAACAAAACATTCAAGAATTGAACCACCAAACCCAGAAAAACGGTAGGAAGAAACGTACCTCTTAATGGCCTCGTCAAGTTCTTGCAGCGTCTTCGTGGTATGATACCAACGCCGGGATGCAAGCATGTAACAATCCACGAATGCCGCAACCGCACCAACGATCGAGTTCGGCACGCCGCAGTTGGCGAGTACGATTGTGATCACTTGCATCACCGTGCGATGCTCAAACGCCTGAAACCGTGCAGCACCCGCAAAATAACCGCCCTTTTCAGAAGATGGAATTCGGAAGCCCGAGATTCGAGTGTCGGTAGCAATCCGCTGCAACTCGACGTCGAGCGAATGTAGAAACTCGCGATCTCGTGCGTAATACACACGAATGCACGAGACGATGTGCAAGAAGACCCCAAGGTCCAATGCGTGCATCACCTCCACCAGTAAGGCCCGATATGGATTGCCGACGAGGGTATGTCCGTTCCTGAAGCCCCACAAGGCTACCTGCGCGGGGGTGTGTGTGAAACAAAGACTTTAGTCAAACGATATAACCCTTGGAACGAAGAACGAGTCAAGCAATCACGCACATTAGACGTGGGACGGTGTGTGAAAAATGAAGGATTGCACGTACGTGCACATACACATAGGATGAGAAAAAAAAACAATAAAAACCGCTTCACAAGTACAAAAGGAAGAACTCGCAAACGATACTCACCTTGATAGGATGAGTGCTGATTGCTTTTGACGCCTTTGTGCGCTCGGGCCCACTCGGCAACGCCAACAACTCGACCACTTTTTTCTTCTGGTCAACTTCCGTGCGATATGCCGCCACCGCCTCCATGTTGCTTATGTCTTCACGTTTTACCAGACACCTGTGGCACGGGAAATTCGCTTTGTGACTTGCGAACGTCCCCGCCAGCTTGCACGCTTCGGGGTGATCGGCCACGTATGCGTATACCGCGGGAAACACCACTTGCACCTTCCCAAAGGGGTCCTCCGTTACAATGCCTCTGCGCAGGTCACATAGAGTGATGAACAGAGAAGAGACACAATTATAAGGGGAGGGAATTAGGATGTGCAAATGAAAAAACCATGCAAGATCTCAATGTAGCGACACATAAATCCACACCCAAAACAATGAAAAGCACACACTCGCGCACTTAATAGATACTCACGCGTAAGATGCCTTTTTGAGTTCCTCGAGAACCACATCCAAAGCCAGTTGAAAGACCTCCCGATGAAGTGCCTTCCCTTCGTCCGTCCGCGAATCCACGTTTGGAAGTGGCGGAAGCATAGCAACCATCCGATGTCCGTGTGGTTGCCAGCGATTCTTCAGCGTGATGTTGCCGAGCGTAAAGTAGACCGGGTGTCCCGTAACACGCCCATCGTTGCTCAGGTTTGTTCCGTCGCTGTACAGAATGCAAGCTGCGATCACGCCACCCCGCGGACATTCTTCCTGCATCTTAATCCATCCGTCTCCCGTCTCGGGCCCCATGTATATCCGTTGTTGTTTGTCTGACGTGTAGACCTCTGCCGGTTTCACCACAAACCCGTCCCTGTTCGCGCTATCCGAATACATCGCCTTAAGAGCCTCCGCCATGGAGGTTACGTGCACTGTAACTTTCATGCCGTTGCTCAGCACCACCTCCACCGCTCTCCATTCCACCGTGCCCGAAGCCTCCGACAGCAACGACTTCTCGTACTTCGCCAAGCCTGCGCTGTTCTTGTATGATGGCTTCAAGTAACCAACCTCGTGCAACACGCTTAGTAACGTGTTAATGTCAGTTGCTGACATCCCCATGCCTCCATTAAAACTGCGGATCGCTTTCGCCAAAGCAAGATCTGTGTCAAACGGGAGTTTCTGTGGAGGAGGCTCTGCTGTAGCACCTATTGTTGAGAACTCTAAGCTATCGTCGTCGCCATCACTATCGTCCGACGCCGGAAACTCTAACGGGGGAGAGTTGACGCCGGTTTGTGCAGGAGGTGCGCCACTAGGGGTCAAAGACGGACCTGCTGCTCCACGTGGAGCAACTCGTGCACGCAGCAGCCGGTTCAAGTCATTCGCACGTTTACGCTTCAGCCCTTCTAGTATCCGTGCGTTTGCACTCTCGGTGGTAGGTAGACTCTTTCTACACATCGCTTTGTGATTGATCAACCCCTGTCCAGTAGTGCAAAGGAATCCACAGGCACATGTAAAGTCCATGACTAATAAAAGGTACTCTGGGATGTAAGGCACCGTGTGATGCACACAAATTGTGAGAAATTCTAAGCTAACTACTATTAACCAAATAACAACCCAACTCTAATATACATGCAAGAACTTCAGCATCCTCCCCTGGACCTGCACGCAGTCAGCAGCCATGTCAAACGGTTAGGTATGACTGGGAAGGGCAAGTGGGCGCAAAAACACGGCCTGGATCTAACAAAATCTGAAATTGTAAAAAAAAAAATACCTACAACATTGCTCCCTCAAGCCGCGGCACTTTCGCGCACTCTACACCGCGTCTGCAAGCCGCGCATACGCTGATGTGTCGGCGGAGTCGCTAAATCGTTTGGGGGGGGGCGAAAATCGAAGCTAATTTGAATGAAACACGTTTCTGTCGCGCCCTACTTCTGCCTGAAATGTCGACGTGCCCTTCTTAGATGCGAGCTGCGCATCGCATGGACCGGGAGGCTGCACTTGAATTAAAAAAAAAAACCGGGCCAAAAAGACTAAAAACGACCGTTCATAGCGGGACGGCGGGATCAACGGCGGCGCCATGGCGGGCGAGTTATGCCTGCTCTAATGTTTGTTACTGCTCTGATTGTGACGGAGGAAAGGGAGGGGTTGGAGACGAACGGCTACATGGTCCTTACAGGTGGTTTTCGAGATGGTTGTACCGCCATGCAACGCGCAAAACCATTCTACATCGCTCCCTAAACCCTCCAACCCTAACCTGCCACAATGACGTTGCAAAATGTTACGTACGATTTTCGCACGTAGCATGGTTTGCGACGCGGCCGAATTATGGTCCTGCAGTAACTCTCGCGGGTTGAAAACGAGCCGTCAATAGGGGTTCGCGGCTTGGTTACCGTTAGTTTCAGTCGCTAACGGTAAGCGCCCTGGTAACCACTCGCGTACGCTCTATCGTTTTTTCAGGAACGGTATCAACTTATGATTGTAAACATGTGCTTACAAGTTGATTTTGATCTTCTTGTGAAACTATGAATGCATTTGCAGACTTTCATTTTTAGAGCTACAACAAAGATTACAAATTATGTCATCTGTAAGAATGCAATTTGAGCACACAATCCTGTTATGAAGAAAACCGGCCGAATAGAGACTTTCATTGTGACTGCAGTAAAAGTTATTGGAAACAAGTATTATATTGTGAACATGTCAATTTTAATTTCGCGCAGAAGTTTTCTAAATCATCGCACCGTTTTTCACCGCTCGATGTCCATCGCTCCAACGGATTGCCTTTTGGGCAGATTGCCCGCAATCTGTTCCGTGACAACACGAACCGAAATTTGGGTAACTACGGGTGATCACTGGCAGCTCGGAAACAGAGGGCAATTTGAAAAAAACACTGGAAGCAAACTGCGAGGAAACGATATCGCCCAGCTAACCACCAGCTGTTTCCCAGCGAACACCAGCAGAGTTGCGATGTGCGTTTCTTCCAAATCTCATCGAAAAGGGCCTGTCTTTCCTTAAAGCCACCAGCACCACAGCCGCCTTTCCCCTTGGATACTCCAACAAGATTTCGGGTCTTTTGTCTTCCTCCACCACTCGCACTTGCGTCTCTCTTTGCCTTTTGTGGTTCCTCTTCTTTGTCATCGCTGCTGGATTCGATGTGTTGACACTTGCTGTAGTCGATCCCACACGCCCTGGCGACAGCAGCAGATGCGGGAGCAGGTGCAGACCCAGTAGCAGGAGGAGGATCTATAGCGAGAGCGGCAGGAGGTGTAGCGGCAGCAGGAGGAAGAGCAGCCGCAGCAGGTGTGACAGCAGAGCAGAAAGAGCAGCCGCCGCAACAAGCCCAGCAGGAGCAGCAGTTGCTGCAGCGGAGCAATCAGAACGACATCGCGAAAATGGGAAGTTCGGAAAGCAACCCAAATTACACTCTTCTGAAGCTTCCCCGATATTTTTAGCCCGGCACTTTTGAGTCAAGGTTTTAGAACTGCATGGCGACAGTTACTTACAAAGTAACTTCGCGTTCACCTTCCCGCTGCATCCTGTACATATGAGTGCATCCGTGCAGTTGCGAAACAGTCACACTCTGCGCCACACAAAAGTTTACCCAACCGGACGGTGCCAACCAACTAGAAAGTGACGAGTAAGCAACCCCATCTGCCACTCCGTACGCACCCACCCACGTGGCATCCAGTATCAACCCGCACGTCTACGTAAGCGTTTAGGGTTTATAACGTACCCGCACCCCAACCGTTTGATGCACAGTCGGGTCACGCAATCGCGACGGTTCACGTGTCTCCTGTACGTAAACTCGCACACCGCGTTACGACATCGCGAACACCAACTCGCACATGCCTGCGCAAACACCGCGCCAGTATCTTCACCGTCCATGTGATCGATTCTCACCCTGTACATATGTTACATTTGGTGCCAACCCACAGGTGCGCAAACCGCATATCACGCGTTCAATACCCACTAGCATGCTAGCACGTCGCATCACTCTACTTGCGCATCATACGTCCGCACCCTACACTACATTGCATAATCACCGTACACCCGTCGCGCTGCCACCGTTTCGTACACTTCGCCGTATATCTCGCCACCCAGTAGTTTTGCACATGCTACTAAGTGACGACGCCATCTGCGTCGTCCATCAGTGGACATCGTCTCTACACCGAGCTGCCACGTCACGCACACTTATTCTATCTACCCCGTACACTTGCCGGTCGATCCTGTTCTCGCACATCTAGTAACCAGTTACCATCTCATCGTGGCATTCGAAAGCGTCATCTTCGCGATACAATCACGACCGTACAGCTGTCTCACCCTCCGCGCCTATGACAGCGCCTTTCCAACTGTCATCCTTATCTTCGCGTCCGTACACCATCGGCGGTAAGAGCGGGGTCAGCGGTTACCCGAAACAGTTACCAGATTCAGCGGTTTGTAACCCTGATTTAGGGTCGGCGTGCTCTGTCCCGGGTGATCTGCAAGCCAAGGTAGCTGCTCAGCTCACCCAGGTCTGTGCACGTGTGTCTCTTCTGCAGCTCTGACTTCACAAGAGCAAGTGCCTCAGTGTCAGCAGTAGCAAAGACCAGGTCGTCGACGTACACGAGGATGTAGAACGGCGGCAGCGACGTGTCGGTGCGGAGGAACAGCGACGGGTCTGCAGTGGAGGGAGCAAACCCAAGAGCCGCAAGTGTCGTCCTCAGTGTATCGTGCCACTCACGAGGTGCCTGGCGGAGACCGTAGACTGGAAGCAGGAGGCTCCACTGGGTACTAGGAGGGAACGACCCAGTGAAGCCAGGAGGGCGGCGCAGCCAGATCTCCTCGTGCAGGCTGCCCTGCAGGAACGCTGTGCTGAAGTCAAGAGAGTGAAGCTCGTAGTCACGCTGAGCGGCAACGTGCAGCAGCACCTGAAGAGTGGTTATCTTCGGGGTGGGGGAGAAGGTCTGGAAGAAGTCAACTCCCTGTCGCTGACTGAAGCCTCGTGCAACGTAATGAGCCTTGAAGACAGGCGGAGAACCTGGCGGCCGCTTCACTCTGAAAATCCACATGCCATCGACGATGTTCGCCCTAGGAGGGGCCTGTGGACTTCCAGGATGCCATCTCTGCGTCCATGGCTGTCTGTGTAATTGCCTCTGCGTAAGAGCGCAGGGTCGGGATGTCTGGTGCATCCGGGTCTCCCTCAGGGGCAAGCAGCCAGGCCACGAGATGAGGTACAGCAGCCGCAAGACAGTCGAGCTCCTCCTGCCTGTCCTCAAGGACGTCTGTGCCAAGAGCACACTCACCCCCGACGGACGGAGGACAGACAGACTCAGACTCAGCAACAAGACTGGCAGCGTAGTCAAGTGACACACAGCAGCAAAGTCAACGAGCTCAGCAACTAAGGCAGACGCAGCAGCAGACTCAAACGACGGGTCAGTGACAACAGTAGCCAGAAGACGCGTGACGGTGGGACTAGCAGCACGAACAGCGTCAGACTCAGGGTCAGGAAGCTCAGGAAGAGAGGACGCAGGAGGAGACGGCAGTGGGACGCGCTGCGGAGCAGAGGAGAGACAAAGTGCCATGGTTTGAGTGCCCGGTACAGGAGGAGGACGTGGACGCGGGGATCGGCGAGCAGTGCGAGCGGCGCGAACAGGCGAGGCAGGACGAGACGCAGGCTCACGACGCTCTGTAAGCGAGTCTGTCTGCTCAGTGTAAGGAGAAGGAGCAGGCAGCGGAGAGCCAGGCTGTAACGGAAGACCAGTAGAAGACGGGAGGGTAAGAACCTGACGAAGCACGGAGTTAGACGGTGGGAGAGACGATGGCGACGGTGGAGTGAAGAACAGATGCCGCTGCACAGCACCACTAGCAGCAGCACCTCTAGAACTAGCGTCACCAGCTCCAACTCCTCCCGCCCCAGAGGCTCCAGCACCAAGAACTCCAGCGTCAGCACCTCCAATTCCAAGACCTCTTGTCCCAGTGTCTCCAGCTCCATCGTCTCCAGCGGCAGGGCCGACGGCTCCAGTAGCCCCAGGACCAGCACCACCAGCCCCAGCAGCTCCAGTACCTCCAGTACGAGCACCTCCGGGACCAACAGCACCAGGGGCTCCTCCAGCACCAGCAGCGTCAGTAGGTCCAGCAGTCCCAGCACCTCCAGCCCCAGAAGCGGTACCACCAGCAGTGCCTGCAGCTCCAGCAGCTCCAGTGGCCGAGGCACTAGCACCAGCAGCGCCACGCGAACGGCAGTAGCGTCGAGTGTACCACTCACGCAGCTGCTGCGGGGAGAGAGGCTCCTGCCGACCAGACCCAGGCTCAGCACCCCCAGGCTCCACACGCTCAGGCTCAGCACCCCCAGGCTCAGCACCTCCAGGCTCCTCACGCTCAGGCTCAGCACCCCCAGGCTCCACGCGCTCAGGCTCAGCACCCCCAGGCTCCACACACTCAGGCTCAGCACCCCCAGGCTCAGCACCTCCAGGCTCCTC